ATCCTAGTGTCAGCAAAGTCTCTTTGTTGAGTATAGGCTGTCAAAGAAGGCTGGGGAGTTGAGAAGGCTCAGGCTCACCCCGTGCATTAGGCTCTCAGAAATAAGATAGGTGGAAGTGAGGTGAGAATAGCCAACCTGGTTCTTAAGACAGGCCAATAAGACATGCTTTGTACATGTCATAGGCCTGTGATGGTAAGAATAGGTACAATCAATCCAACAGAGACGCAACTCAGGGGTGCTGAGGGATTGCAAAAGGCAACTTGTCATGTTACAGGCACAACACTTAATGCAACTCCGCATGCTCCAGTTAAAGCACCGTGACGTGGTTTGAGAAGAGACATACTAAAACTATGCAACGAAATGCAAAAACCTTCCCAGTTAAGATGATATATACATATAAGAACTACTAGAACTATTTTATGTAGAAGAACTAGAAATGATGCAAAGGACAACAAGGATGATCAAAGGTATGGAGGGGCTTTCATGTGAGGAGGAACTAATGGGCTAGGACTTGGCTTAGAAGAGAGACATTGGAGGTGGGGGAATATGATAGAGGTTTACAAAATATTAAATGTAAAGGAAGTAAATAGGGAGTGTTTGCAGTCTCTCTCAATACAAGGACATGGGGACATAAACCTACTACTCAATAGTTTCATAAGAAAACAGTTATTTTTTGCACTTGTAGAACTCACTGCCACAAGAAGTTGTGGAGGCTAGTAGTAGCTTAGCCCAGTTCAAGTGAGGATTGGACCACTTCTTGGAGGACCGGTCCATCAGTCAGTACTGAATACAGTAGATAACAGTGCAGTCTCTGAAACAACTTCCTAAACCTCTGAAATGCTGGAAGCTGCCTTGGGAGAGCTGGGAGTAGAAAATTCTGCACATGCCTATTTATCCTCTCTATGAGCATCTACTCTGTGTGAAACAAGGTATTGGGCTTGATGGACCCATGGTCTGACTCAGTAAACAGCAGTTCTCAACCATAACCCTGCCCTATTTGATGTTGGTACCTTTCCATCAAACAAACCTGATGGTGTCCTATTAGAGCCTCCCATTAGCCTTCTACCAACCTGCATTGTGCTCTATGTAGCATTGTGGCTGGAAGAAGTACGTGTTGCCACATGTCTACAGTTTGCAATCTCTGTGTACCGCTGTTACATAACTATCCTGTTAGAAGAACAGGAAACTATTCTAAAATGTTTGAATGTCACTGAGGGTTGATTTGGGGGACTTTGTTTGTTCGTTTCTACTCTGTTACTTACTAGTAGCTTGTCATGCAAGCCCAAGCCAGAAATGCGCAAAGCTGTGAAGACCTGACTTCTGTTGGCCTCATCTAGAAAACATCTATTGCTTATAGCCTCTCATGATGCTGCCAAGCAATCTCTAGGATCACTATTGTGCAGACCTCTGTGGGTTTTGAACAGGGTCATGACGTTTTAGTTTCATTTCTTTTGATTAGCCGCCTTGGAGTTTCATTTTGACTTCCCTTGAAACCTCAAAAGCAAACTTCAACTGAACCCAACATGTTTGATCTGCTTTTCAAAAATACTTTTTAAAGTGTCACATGGTTTGTACAAAAACCAAGTACAGGTATGTCCAGCATGGATTGAAACTCAGTGCTGCATCTGCATGTTCTGTGTCACCTGATTTCAATATTAAATTCTTTCTGATTAAGTCACAGGCATAATTTTACATTAAGAAATTATAAAAGCAATTACTTAAAAGCATGCCACCTACTACTCAAGTAGGCAATACAGGTTGTATTCAAGAATCACTTCCTTTTGCAGTCAGGTTCCCATGTAGCTATTTGTTCTTTTCCATTACCCTCTAAAGCAGTAAAGTTAGCAGTAGAGCTGACTAAAGTGGAAACATTGCATTTTTATAGAAGAGAAAGTCACCCAAATTAGTACAACTTTTACTCTTTCTCCCCCAAATGAGTCTTTTTATTAGAAGAAACTTGTATAATTGATCCTTTCAAAACATAAAGTGGAATTTTTCTATTTGCTTGGCTGACTGCTTGGTTTCTTGAGGTGGCTGACTGTATTTACTGCAAGGTGGGCCTGTGCTATCCAGCCAGCCACCTAGCTCTCTAACTCATGAAGCAGGAGAGCTTGGACAGTCAGCTTGCAAGTAGCCTGTGTTACTCATTAGCATGGAAGTAGGCTACTTCAGTGAGCCTGGCTGCTTCTGAGAACCCTGCCTGCTCCCTGGCTTGGCCAACTTCCCTGGCCTGCCCAATAACTTGGAGAGTTTGGAAAGTGTTCTTCCATCTCAGCCTGCCTCTTAGATTTCCAAGAAACTAGGCAGCCTGGAAGCGTTGGCAGCCTATGCTCTGTGGCATTCCCTTTAGCAGGCTTCTGGGAAGCTATACTTTTGCAACAATCCAGCAGGCATGCTGCCAAACAGCTTACAAGCCTAGGTAGTTTCAGTTTTGCAGCAGCCAGCCTGGCATGGGATTAGGGAGCAAAGCCTATACTGGCAGCTTGTCCAGCATGCTACTAATGAGCTGATCAGGTGAGTTGGTAGGAAAACACATTTCAATAGAAGTGATGATTGCCTGAAGAAAGAATGGTGCCACCAGAACATTTCTAACCAGCTGTAGTTCTGAAATAGTAATAGTCATCCTAAAGTACTTTAGAAATCCCTGAAAAGTCTGATCCTGAGAGCACATTGGGACTGCTTGAACTTCCCTTAGTTATACTTAAGTCCCATTAATGTTTAGAGAAAGAATACATGATGGGTACGTCCCTTCCAGTATAGATGCATTTTCATGGCAACACGCATTCTATACACCTGAAGGCAAACACCCACCCCATGTGTGCCATTAATTATGTGCAGATACCCGAGGACCCTAGCCTTGGATCTGCCGAAGGCAGTAGAGTTGCACAGTGTGTAAATTGCAACAGAATTTAGCTTCACACACTCTCAGATGTTTCTAGAACTCATTTATTTTGGTGGCCATCATCCACCGGCCTTTTTGTGGCATGGCGTTAACTGTGTACATAGTAAAGAGACTTCCTCTTGCTGCGACTGGAGTGGGGGGGATGGAAAGAAATCATTTATTTATTGAATCACAGGAACAATACAAATGGCAATTTTTTCCAAAAATGTGCTGTAGAAAATGTAGATTGTGTGCACTTCATCTGCAATTATTTATACCTCCTCTTTCCAGAAATGGCATCAAAAAGCAATCAACATAAAATACAGCTCAGATGAAATTCAGGAAATATTCCAAATGTTCCTTTATCTCTGCCACTGGAGCTAAGCCAGGGTATCTGCATTCATTTACTTTGCTAAAAAATGGAAACAAATACAAATGGATAAATCAGAGTCAAAGTGAGAATACTTAAGAATTGAAGATTGTGAGTAATGATACAGGGAAAGATAGGGAATCTAAACAGGTATGTGCATTTATATGTATGTTTCCGAAAACCTTGCCTTGAATCTGCAATCACCATAGAACATTATGAGATCTGCAGTTTTTATCCTGCCAAGACTGGAATCTGGCATAAAGAGTAGATATTTTCAGGATATTTTCTTTCAAGTATTATTGGCCTGGATTCCAAAATTACTTTTGAAACATGGCTGGCAACAGAGTTTCAGTAATATTTTCATTCAAAGTAGAAAATGATATCAGCGTTGAAGGCACTATTTAGACAGACACCTGAATACCTGGTCAGGGTTAACTATGCTCATTCTGTTCAAGCATACAGATATTCCTTAGCTACATAGCTGGATTTTTATATAGCACAGATCACACTAATATAGTGGTTCTCAATCTTTTTAGACCCAATGCACCCCTTGGAAGATGCCAGCTCTTAGACTTCGCTCGGTGTTTTTTTTTACTATGGAAATAGCAATAGAACAAATCTACTGCTGCAAGGATCTTGCAAGGACCACAACAGGTCAGGATGTTTCTGATGCTATGAATTCTCCTTTGAAAGATGTGTTTATCTTGTGAATCATGTGTAGGCATTTGCCTCAGCATCCTGGTTGAGGATCACGGACAGAAGAAGAGGCCCTGATTCAACAAAATCCCTAAGTAACTTTATGTGCAGGAGTAATTTAATTAAGGTCAGTGAGACATCACATGCAAAAAAAAAAGTAACTTGCGTAAATGTTAGTATCATCCCTGCCCAAGCTACGGTCTGTGGCCACACTCCTACTAACATACCAGTGTGCTGGGCATACTTGGTTCCACTCATTAATCTTAATGAGCTATCTCTGTACATAAATGACAACAAAATCAGGGCCATGGGTCTTATTTGCAGTAAGAATGATGCCCTTAAAAATTTCAGCTGTGATTTTAGCTTACGGAAGTACATCCAGTCTCAGGAAAGAAAAGGCTTAGCACATTAAATAATCATTTAAACTCCCATTCACCTAGGTCACTGTTAGACAAGCCCATTACAAATGACTCAAAGCTTTCCTCTTACCTGTACAGCAATTTAATGAAGTGTTTCTTGACACTTATCACAGTATCAACCCTTTCAGGGCTTAAGTGGTCAGCTGGCCCTTTGCACTGAAGGGTTGAATTGCACCCTCAGAGGGAGATAAGGTTGTTTTGTTAAGTCTGTTTTGTATATACCATCTTTTACACAGTAAGTCAAATATCTTTTAAAGTCATAGTTTAAAATTGAAGGCCAGATTTGTAAAAGCAGAGGGCTGCCTGAAGTAGAGGAGAGAAAATGAATGGCATTTTCAAAAGCAACCTAATGGATTTAGGTACCTAGGACCAGATTTTTAAAGATGTGTAGACACTGCACTCCCTTTAGAATCGATAGAAGGTCGGTGCTTATATATCTTTAAAAATCAGGCCCCTAAGACCTTTTGGAAGGAATAGGAACGAGGAGCCTATCTTACTTAGTCTGTTTTGTACCAAACTCCAATCTCTACCTTTAGGCTTCTAAGTAAATAAAAATCTGACTGAACATCCACTGTTGTAACACATGAATGACTTGCACCCAGTGATTGTGTCTTAGCCCTGATCCACATAGGTCAAACAAACAACCAAAACCTGCCCTGATTTTAACTACAACGATAAAATTCTTAAGTGTAGCCCCGGTTTAGAGGTGCTTATTTTGGCAGGCGTGTGACTCATGTGCCTTTGGTGCTAAGTTAACTGCATAACAGCTTAGGGGGTCACAAAAGAGTTAATTTGCTATGCCTGGAGTAGTAGTGAACTGGTACAAACCTGGAGTGCCCTTCCTTTGGTCTCTATGGGCAAAGTGAAGGCAGAGATGGCACAAACAATGCACACTCCTGAGAAAAGACACAGGGCTCCAAGGAATGATGCACTCATGAGAACCTACAAATACATAATTCAAGCACCAGTTAATGCTGCCATGCAAGATACTCACCCAATGGTTTGTTCAGAATTAAGAAACATGACTTGGGTGGAAGATTTCAAGCAACTAAAGGACTTGATGATGGCCAGAAAATCTGTCCAGTGACTATAACCACATCAAAAGAGTAGTTACAAATATGAACAAGTATGTATATTCTATACAGTAGCGTATACAGATCTAGATCTGGCAGTCACTTTGTTTCTAGTCCTGGGCCCACATCCTGCTTTGTGGAAAGGTGCCTTAGTGTTACTTAGAAATCTAAATGTAAACCTGTAAGAGACACGGCACTGGAAAGGAGGATGTCCCGAGTTCTAACCCCACCTTGTCATGACTGTCTAGCCATTCTACTTCTTCCGGAGTGCAGAAGGTGTATGTATCTTAGCAGGACTTCTGGCCTAAACAGATAGATGCCTACATAAGGATCTTCTTCCATCATACATTGTTGCCCAGGTGGTCCCCTTGGGGAGGGCGGTGGGGGTACGTGGACCTGCAAGTCCCCACAGACTCCTTTTACGTCCCCTGGCTGGAGAGGATGTAGCTGCAGTGATTTTGAAGCATTCCAGACGGGGAAGGAGAAGAGGGAGCAATAGGGACTGTGTCTGTCCAGTGGCTGAAATACTATTATGTTCTAAATGTTTCCAAGTCTGTTTACATTATCAATCTGTCTGCTCCATATCTTGCCTACAGATGAGGATATCTAATTATCAAACAGTGCTAGCCAAATACCGATCCATCAATTGTAACACAAAACATACATGTCCTCAGTGACAAACAAATTCAAGTAAATTTTGATTAAATTTGGTGGCACTGCATACTGCTTTAGATGCATCTTTG